AGAAACCTTTAACATCTCTTTATCTCTTCCTTTACCCTTATCTATTGTCTCAATGTTTTTACATGTTTTGAGAAAATTGTACTTGCTTGTTTATGGTTATGGCGTGGGATATAAAATGGTACCTGGGGTACATTGATTTGGATATCTTTCTTTCAAGTATTTATGAAATTTTTTCTGCACTAAGAACGGAATAGACTCTTAGATTATGTCATTCGGTTAACTGCTTGCCAATTACTTGCTTGCATAAGACATAACAAGGATTCTAGAAGAATACTCTAGAATTCGAGTTCAGTAACACCTGTTATCTCAAGACCAGATTATTCTAGATCTTAATTCAGATATAAGCACTGTTAATAGTAAAACAAATGACTTTACGCTTGGTTTTTTGTGGATATAGACATGTACTTGTGTAGTATATACTTGTTATATGTACTAGGGTGTAGCGAAAAGTGATCAGAATCTGATAAGACAAATACACGTATTCACTGCAACATTCACTTATCAGATTCTGATCACTTACCCTCATCACCCGGTACTTGATGTGCGTAGAGCGAGCTGCGAAACCAATACAATCAGATGAGCATTACCGGACTCGATTTCCCATTCGAAGTCCACAATCTAAAGCACAATAACTTGGCTCACAATACATATCTTCAACCCAATCGATCATATATAGGTATGTATATTATCCTACTATTCTTGGTACTGCTTTTATCAAGTTGAGATCGGGCTCGCGTTAGTCTATTTTGAATGCACAAGTAATGCCTACAATTCGAAAATCAAACCTATCATTTCCAATGGTTAACTGTCAGAAATAGACCCTTAAGTAGGTAGTAACCTGCATATAACTTTACGCCACCTGTGAAATAGTTGGCACATGTGTACCTCTATCAACTCAACTATAGGCTATAGCTATCAAGTGTTATATATAATTATGACTAGTTGAGCATGAGGCGGATCCTTGGTTTTCCCGACGGTGCCCGAGAGCTTCTACTGATCTTTTCATAGCGTTTCCGAACACGACCAATATTGCATGACATACAAAAAGGTGGATTTGGCGCTCTTTTGTATGGTATGCAATCTCAGTCGTGTTCGGAAACGTCATGAAATTAGTAGTATGAGAAATGACCTAAAAATTGATTCTAATGCATTGTCTCTTCTTTTTACTTTAAGTTTCCTCAATCATAACATGTATGAAGGGCGGCTTAGGACTGAAGTAGGTACATGTAGTTTTAAGTTTACAAGTGTTCCACTAGCTGTGTAATATCGATAAAACTATTGACAACTACTACTGATCTTTGAGAAGATCATATTAGTTATATCAATGAGATACATAGGTATATCTCGAGTATTAGACGATATTAGATGTGCGGTCTTGTACGATCCTAAGCGGGTGATAGCATAATATATAGCTCTAGGCGCTTTAGCTAGATCTGACCTGTACACGCGAAGGGGTTTGATTTATATATCCTGTTCTTAGACTCATAGGGCTCTTCTCAGATATTGTGTTAATGTAGTCATGACCCAATTGACTACGATTCAGGGGATAATTATCGGTTATGGTTTTTATAAAGATATGATGGATTGAATATTAATATGGTATTTAAGCCATTTATATATTCTCGTAACAGTCTCGTATGTGTGTACTACTAGCTAAGCATAAGCCAATATCACTGAGTACCAGCATATTGAATAGGTTGACATGGCTAGTGGATATATTTATCTTTTATATAGTGTATCACTTACTAGTTTTCCCGACAACGCGCACATCGCGTTCATACGGAACACGTGCGAATAGTATACTCGAAAGATTTTAGCGATCATTGCCGATAAACTTTGCCCTTTTTCATAAGCGCTGGATCATAGGTTTGCATCACTCAATATTAACACACGGGATAACGGTTCAAGCTATTAGGCCACCTTAGGCGAACGTTAAGAGGCCTGTGGATGGCTACGTTTTATTAAATCACAAGATATTTGTAAGAGGGTCCTAGTTGTTAACAACACATAACAACAGCCAAGGCTCAGTTGGTGTATGATCGAAGAGTGGCATGAATCGTATACTCGCGACCAGCAACAAGAACCCGAATATGCAGCTGCAAGTCTTTGGTGTATTTTTGACTTCTACTCCAATGGAAATTGCAGATTAGGACGTGCATTCTCGGGTTCTTGTTGCTGGTCGCGAGTACATTTTCATAGATCGACAGAAGTATCACAGGTACCCTAGATCAACCTGGCAACTTTAGTTATCTAAAAACCACCTAAAAATTTAGGGCTGGTTTTCAATTCCACTGGAACGTGCATGTGGGCACCTTTAGTCCAACTATTGATACAACGGCCCTATGATTGAGAGTGTCTTCTATCAGCATTGTCTAGGATATTTTACAATCTTTCTTTGGTCAGTTATTCAAGGCTATTATAGCATCACTTTTACGTTTATACTTGGGCCAAAGATCGATCAGCTCCTATCAGTAAGTTATTCGAATCACCCAAAGTAAACCACAGAAATCTAATACATGGCCAACATAACGATCAAAGATACGTCATTTGATACATGTCAACCTGGATTGACAAATTATAAAACACAGGTATGTAAAGTAGTACAGAATATCCCATTTTAGTGCAACTAGCTGCATATTAATGAGACCGAGTAACGTTTCAGCACGGGTGCTTTGCAGCTATCTCATGACTCCATACACAACTTACTTGGAAAATGTCCTTTGGGTCGGCAACAGCCCCCATTGGCATGTGGCACAGCTGTACAGATAGGGTTGACAGAATCTTTGTGCCTGAAGGGGTCAATCATGCCGACCCCTCTTTTCTGCAGCCCTCTGATCAGCAGGGAATAACCACCAATTCCGATACGCCCAATTTAAGATAGTGCGAGCTTTTTGTAGCGGTGAAAGATTTATGTGCTTTCTGAAGACGACATCCGGCTGGTCAAAGGCTTCAGGGGTGGGTGTAAGGAGCTTTCGGGAATGGCCAACCACAAACAACTAAACTGACAAGTAGACTTAGAATTATGGTATTCTACTTTGAGTATACGAAAAGTACTACATGACCTCGAGCTACTAGTGCATACTATTACTGAAGGTTTTCCCTTGCCCTATCTACTACATAGAGCAGACCATGAACGCCACTCGCACAATGTAAACTACGTCAAAGAAATGAAACAAAGCTGTTAGAGTAGGTTACCGCTATACATGGAATTTGAGACATTGAGATTCTCCTATATTGATTTTTAATTTTCACAAATGTCTCGTATTGATTATTAACTATAATCTCTTAGTCTTGTATTTTAGACAATTGGCCTACTTACATGCAGTTAGCCAAGACCATAGATGACCGAGTGAGAATTCATGACTGATACCATGCGTTATGTAACACAAAAGTAATATGCATGCACATGCTGAATTGCTCTCATTCTTTGACATGAACCCTAACCCATATATGCTCCAATGACCATGTCAACTACAAAGTATGTATCGAGCAGAAGCTAGATTCACTCCGGAATCGCTATTGTCGAGATTTTGCGTTTCTTTATCAGACACAGATGCAAAAGTGCAATTAAATATTGGTTCTAATTACAAAGTAGTCTTTGTTCTTGAAAGTTCGCCAAGCTCTTGATGATGCAACATTGTTACACAGCTGTAGAAGCTGAAATGCTCAAGGCTCAAATTCCGCCTGGTACATTCTGAATCTCTAGACCTTAGCACATATGTCGAGACTTCTAGCGCCAGTTTTCAATTGCTTTATCCTGCCCATCCCGAGATCTTTTTTTGTCTCTCCCCAAGATCGACTCAAAATCTAGGCTTCACGTAGTCTCGAGATAACTTGATTCGTATGCAGACTCGTCACCAGCCGCGCGCCAACTAACATACATCATGAATATTATATTTTCCAGAATCTAGCTCTTATTAATGTCACAGAGGTGATATATATCAGGAAATAAGAAGCCAATGACGGAGGCGATTACTAGAGAATATATATTACTGAGGCATATCGATCATTACAATTTTATGCCTTAGTGTATGACTGCATGCAGAGTTTGTCCCTAGAAACAATAAAACTACATGATTTAAAAAAAAAAAAACTCGATCATTACAATTGTATCACAAGGTCGATCGTAGAACAAGGTATTCTGTATTAATTTCCGAAATCAGGCCGAGCGTTCACGGTTTTAATTTAGAGTATTTACGTGGACCTTAACACTAAACGGAGAAAACTTCTTTTTAGCTCTGGCCAGCACTACCTCGCAAATATCCCCACGAGCAAAAATGTAGGTCATCTAGAGAATACCTTGTGTAATTGCGACCGCGAAGTTAACGGGGCATTTTGATCTGGCCGACCATTGTCCTGTATGCACTAAAATATTACCAAGCTACCATGTAGTTGAGCTGTTGCTTTGGTACCGCATCAGAGTATTCTACGCTAGATAAATAGGTTGTCGGAGCCGCCTCTTATATTACAGAATCTCTCGATAGACGACTTCCCTAGCCACTCGGACAGCTAACGTAGAAAAGAGATGATCAATGTTATAGCCGGCTTCTGTACCTCTTCTCCAACAATCATCGTTGACTATCTGAGTGAGGAGGTGTTATCTTACAGAGAACTTTAGAGTGATAAGTTCCTATGAATGCAATATTATGCCTTCATGAGTTATCACTCGGTCCTACGACCTGCGAACGGTTGTCCCTAAAGCTTTTATTTTAATCTTAGTTATCCATCACTTCAAAAGTAATGATTCAGTTTAACCAGACACAATTAAACTAGTAGTTTGCGTAGAAAGTTGTGATTATTATCCTATCACCACCAGTTTCGCCCCTACTGTACAACGCTTGCAAATATTGGAGATACAAATTTACTCATTTATCATGCAGCGGAAAGAAAAAGAAAAACACAGGTTTTTGAAAACAAAGGATATGTTTACAATAAATCCGAGACAAACCGTTCGAACTTGAGAGAAAACTAATAATACTATGCGCCGCCACACAAATAACTTACACCTCAATAGATTTCTCGACTTGATCAACCAACATTGTTCCAATTTTCTCTTGTTCTACTTGACTATTAAAATCCTACTTTTAGCCTTCTAGCTTAAATGACGGGGTAATAATAGGAGTAAGAATAAGGACCTACGTAGTCTCTGTGTTCACACCCTCACTTGCTGGACTAGCCGCACTCTCGCTCACAACCTCACGCGATTCAGTGTCTACATCGACACCTCTTGGCCTAACCTCGTCCTGCGCATCTTTCTCGGCTCCCTTCAATACAGTCTCAGGATTTGAACCGTCAACCAACGGCCCTGCAACACCTTGATCCGCTACAGGAACGGCGGATTCCTCTGAAATCTCGTTGCCAAATTCGTCGAGAAGACGAATGCGTGTTTCATAGCGAGTATGAAACTCAACTTTGCCTTCAAGCGCTCTCACTTGTTCTTCGTCTAGAAGATTTCCATCTTGATCACGGTACTCGATCCTTTCTTCGGAGGAGACTACTTCGCCCGCATCAGCAGCTTGGATTGGGTCCTTTTTGACGACAACAGGTTCTTCAGCGGGTTTGTTGGTGACGGCTTCCTCGGGAGCTGAAGAAGATGAAGAGGCCTGTAGAGGTGGGTTCGAACTCTTTATGGCTGACTCATTGGGTGACATGATAACATTATATTCCTCATACTGCAATCGTTAGCTATGACAGCCCAGAATATGGAGGGGAAGACGGCACATACAGTGTTGTGAAAGGTGTTACAATCCCAATCCCATGAATCGAATAGTTTTACCCTTCTACATTCGCCCTTGGTCCAGGTATTTCCATATGCCAATGGAGCGTACAAGCCAAAAGCGGCAATACTGAAGGCCAAGAATACCACAGCAAGAGTCCACCCGGCAATCGGCTTCTCTCTTAACTTTAATGTGGCAATCCTTGCGGTGATGAAATCAAACACCTGGCATAATGCGATGATAGCAAAGTACAGAGCTGGGAAGTAATGGTGTAGGAAAAGTTGTCTCTGCATGAGGTAAAAGGGGAAATAGTGGAAAGCCCATCCTAAAACAGCGACGCCAATCTCAAAATCGAAACGGCGGAAGTTATTGACAGAATAGTCGTTGTAGCCCCTCTGCCACCTAAGAACTGCGAAGGCTTTGAACATCGCGTAGATAACAATGGCAGCAGTCGAGGACCACCAGATGACCGGGTTACCGATGAGGTAGACTTGTCGATGTTCCTTGCCCCAAAAGTTGATTCCGCGCTTCAATATCGGCCAGCTTGAAGGGCGGGAGTCCCAAGCATGAGACTCTACAAGTCCGGCATTGGTATGCCACATAACTTTGTTGAGTTCCCAGAATTTACCAAAGAAACCAGGATTGCGGTAATTGACACGCTCAGCATCCTCGCCCAGTTGCGGATGCTCATTTTGCTCAACATACCATACGCTGTTTGGGAGAGTTGCACCCTTCGCGCAAGTGACCTCTTGCTGCTCGTAACCCCAATCTGGGAGTTTGACTTTGTGGGAGAAGAGGACACACCCAGTCATGGTATGAACGAGCTTGAACTTGGTCTGAATAGTGCGGAGTCTTCTTTTCGCCTCAGACCCTTCAGAGAGGTGCTTGATAATCTCAACACGGAAGACATCATTTGCATCACCTTCAAATCCCTTGTATCCATAAGCTGAAACCTCGTTTTGCCATTCCGCTTCAGTAACTGGAGGCCTGACGTCGTGCGAATGCAAGCGCCGATCAGTAGGTGCATGATATAACCTAATTAGGGCACCATCCTCGACCCAGACCGGTGGAGAAATCGCATCAAATCCAGAGATTCCTTCACCTCCGACAGGGTTTGTCTGGTTCTCAACGGTCCAAATGTTATTCTCATCCTTGTGTGGATATAATGTAATCTGCTGTTGCTTGGAGCCAGTCGGGTACATGTGGTTGTGTGAATGAAGATAACCACCCTGGGTGTTATGGTGTCTGATAGAAACACGTGAACCGAAGGCAACGTCGGCAGGAACGCTGTGCATACCCTTGGAATTGAGGGTAGCCTGGAATTCCGAAGACATGAAACCGTCACCTTCACCAGGATTACGGAGGAGCATAAAGTGGATGACGAACATGGACATGTAGAACACGACGGGGACAATAATAAGACAGAAAACACGAGCAAAGAAGTGTTTAAACCAAAGGCGCTAGAAGTAGGGTTAGTGGCTATGCGGAAGATATTAAGGGACAGGGAGCTTTACGGGAGTAATATTCTTGGTATCACCTAAAAGAAGCCATAATTGGAGAATAGTCAAGCTTCCAACCCAGGCAATTGTAAACAAACCAACCCACTTCACGCTGACGGTAGCTCCAAGGCCCAATCCAGTCATAGTGAGCCAAAACCACCAGTTGGGGGAGAACGCTCTTGAGATGCCTTGTTCATGGATGTTGAGAAAAGAAGTCCAGGCAAGTGCTGTGGCGGCAGTAAAGCTAACCAATGGTGAATCCAAGAGAATAAGACGGGACTGAGTCAAAAGTCCGTTCTCTAATAGCACGTGTCAGTCTATCAATCATATATCGGCTTTCTGAACCTTTTACTGACCAAATATAATAAATCCGGCGCCCAAAAAGGCTGAAGCTGTAGAGCAACCAGCTGCTTTTAAGGTTAAGAACATAATAGGAACCACCATGATACCCAAAACAGCGGGCAACATTCTCATTGCAACGTAGGGGACTCCAGGTCCAAGATAGTCCTTTCCAATTTCTTTAAAATCGAAACTTCCGTCAAATCCAGCCAGCCAGCCTGCCAGTGTGATGAGCATCTTCGCGAGTGGAGGATGTACGTCCATGAAGAACTTTCCCTTGATATACTTTGTCGCAAATCCACCAAAGCTAGTTTCCGTAAGTTACTGTACAATGGTTACGAGTTATAACCACTTCTACTTGGGGCTTACTGGACTTCATCAAACACAACGCTAGTTGGTTGGTATATACGGAATAGCCGTATACCAATTGCTACAACCGTCAACAGAGCAAGAAGCTGGAAATCCGATGAGGGGAGCATCAAAATATCATTGTCTTTGACTTGATATTTCTTGGTCGAGACATCTTGTTTCAACGACGGTGGGAGCGCAGAGACTTTAGAAGCTGCAGGCGGTGCTTCCACAACAACTTTCTTGGCCTTTCGACCAGGCGAGCGACTTCTGGAGCGAGATCGAGAACGAGAACCCTTTTCGTCTACTGCTAGACGGGGGTTTTTGGGAGGCATGTTTGAGTCAATTCGTATGTCTGTATTAGATTACTGTATGATTATTTGGAAGGTAAGATATCTCCAAAAGAAGAGGTGGCTGTCGAGCCTGTGCGGATGTGTGAGTGTGGCAGGGGGTAGTGTATCCGACGAGAAGGTGTCGCAAGTTGCAACTACAGTAATATCTCTGATTGATACAAATGACGGATAACGGAAATAAAGGGGGGTGCGAATAAAGAGTCCAATCGATGGATCAAATGATGTGGGGCGAGGGATGAAGAAAAAGGAAGATGTTGGAGAGAAGCTCTCCTGCAAGGGAGAAATATTGAGTGAGAGAATGAATGGAGAAGTAGAAGAAAGGGATGATTACAAGAAATCTATGTTGAGCTGAACAGGCCAGATGTTCGAATTGGAGGCTCTACTGAATGCAGCTATTTTCCCACCATAGCAACGACGGGGATAGAGAAGGCGCGTCTTGCTTTCAGAGATATGGGAAATGACAGCATAAGATGGTAATCGACAACACCATGCATGTGATGGCCCGATATTGAATAAAGAAACGCCAAATTCCAACAAAGTATAACAATTGTGGTATCCAATGCAGTGTAAACAAGATTACGACGTTTCTACAACTCATCAAACAACAAGTCCTGCACCTCGAAATTCAATATTCTGATTGATGGCATTACCCCCGGTCGCAAAGGCTTTTGACCTGTTAGTACATGTATGTAGATGTACCTGTACTGTCTAAGGGGGTGGTGGGCGAATACATGACTCGCTATTTGCAGCACAAGTAAGAATTGTCGACCATATGAATCTCTTGCTAGCGACGTCAAAGTACGCATCAGACTTTGCTGGAGGTGGAATTCTGACGGTCTAAGATTTTAAAACTCTAGTGTTGAACCCGCTTAATGCCGAAGGATGCAAAATTCTGTGGGCTGCAGCCCTTCCAGGCCTTCTAGGGCACTCTATCCCTGAAGGCCTTTCCTATCCCCTTCAGGTTCTGCATCTTCACCATTACTGCCTGCAATACTCTGCTTCTCTTCCTCTGGTTTTACCTTTGGAGCGTTTCGTCTCTCACTTGAACATCTGCCCATATTCACCTCCAGTCATTCTTTTCTCCGCTTTTGTTTTTTCTTGATCTTGGGAACACCTCAATCCCTCACAAACCTCTCCCAATCCCATTCAACTCTCCCAGCCTCCTCCGCCCCCCTCCCTTCCCATCCCATCCCACGTGTATCGTGCTTGCCTACCTGTATGCACGTACTGCTACTGATCTCCGCTGAATAATCATTAGCTTTGTTCGTCATACAGTTCTCCCCTCCATATCTGCCCCCGTCTCCCCGTTTCTTTTTCTATCCCCTCTTCGATATCCAAAGTTCTTCCCCTTGTATCACTTGATATCTATCCTGTCGCTGGAAATTGCTAAAGAAAAAATCGTTGCCTCTCATTTCAACCGATGGCCTCATCCCGAGGCTCCTCTCCGCTATCGCCTAACTCCCTCCACGCCGGCGGTCTCCCACTTTCCCTTCACGAAATCCACGAGGATGGTCCTGACCATGGTACTCATAGCGTCATCTCTTCTCGTATGACTGATGTTAGCGATAATGCTTCCGACATTATGGGCCTTGCCGAGGCTCAACAATCCCAACATGCCTCGTCTCGCCGCTCGTCACTACAGCCTACGCTAGGTCAGACACGAACTAGAGTTTCAGTCAGCGAGCCTAAGCCAGATGCTTTCTCAGGCTCCCGCCCCAGCACTGCTATGTCGAGCTCTACAGCCGGGATAAGAGGATGGTCGGGTGCTCCAGCGTCGCGGAGAGGTCTAGGTTCAGTTGGCGGGAGTGTAAGGGGGAGGCCGACATCATCAGCATCGCGGACACATGCGCCATCGTTAACAAGTAACGCCTTCTATAGGCCTATGAGTTCGGCGAAATTACAAGCGCAAAGAGGGAAAGTTACGGAAGAAGATGAGGCGGAGCAAAACAGGATACGAGGGTTTGCTCAGGCTGCGCAGTCACCAGGAGGGCCGCCGATTTTAGGGCTGTCGATGAATGAGCCAATGGCACACCAACTCAAACAACAAAGGTTAAGCGACGATCGTGGTGGGTACGGGCAGTCTGGAAGGTCATTATCTCCAACAGGTCATACAGCACAGTCGGTAACATCCGTATCGCCTTTACATACAGACTCTGGAAGGATGAATGTGAATCACGCGAATGGAGTAAATGGGACGCCACCACTGCCGCGACTAGATTCATCAAGCCAGGGATCTGGTGAATCAAAAGAAAAGCATCAAAAGCAGAAACAAGAGGACCTTGGAAAGAATTGGCAGTATTTCCCAGGAAACACAAGTTTTTGTTTTGGTGGGCGGTTTCAGACAGCAAATGATGTGCCAATGAACATTCTGACAGCTATTTTGATCTGCATCCCGGTGGGGCTATTTTTTGGTTACTCGTAAGCTCTCGTTATCATTGGCTAGCATCGAGTGAGATTGTATGAACTGATTGGTTGCTAGGGCGAAATGGTTATGGTTTAATGTATCACCGGGGTTGCCAATATCTTTTGCATACTTGTTTGCACTCTGTATGTCATCTTTCATCAAAGCCTCTGTCTCGGACCCTGGTGTAAGTTTCCCGATGGGCCTATATCCATACTTCTAGTGACAGTTTACTTTATAAATACTGATGCACTCTAGGTCTACCCCCGTAATGTTCACCCCCTCGAAACCGACAATGACAACGACCCCCTTGCCGTCCCTCCGCCTAACGGTTGGGCCTTAATTCGTCCCCCTAAACCAACACAAATCCATCTTGAGGTCCCCATAAAATACTGCCGTACCTGCCGAATATGGCGCCCGCCACGTTGTCACCATTGCCGGGTTTGTGATAATTGCATCGAGACACAAGACCACCATTGTGTTTGGCTCAATAACTGCGTTGGTCGCCGCAATTATCGCTATTTTTTTACTTTTGTTACAACTGCTACTCTCCTCGGGCTATATCTTATCGCACTATCACTTGTACATCTTATTATGTGGCAGAAACAACATCCTGGTGTTGGGTTTCCTGGCGCAATAAAAACTTGGCGGCCAGTATTTGCAATGGTGGTTTATGGAGCGGTTGCATCACCGTATCCACTTGCATTGTTTGGATACCATCTCTTCTTAATGGGGAGAGGCGAGACAACGAGGGAGTATCTTCATGGCCACAAATTCGTTAGGAGCGAAAGGCATCGACCGTTCAGCCAGCAGAATATCTTCAAGAACTTTGTCGTTGTTTTGATGAGACCCAAACCTCCAACGTGTGTATTCATACAAATAAATCCAAACTCCCTTTTCCCTTACACTGACGATATTTTAGGTATGTCCAACTGAAAAACCGTTACACTCGTGGCGACCAACGCTTCGAGCAGAGGAAGATAGAAACAGACTCGCAGAATGAAGATCGGGGATCGAGCCGTGGCGAAGCCACAAGGGGTAGCAACTAGCTGTAGGGCCCAACTTTACCCTAGCGAACCTTCTATTTGATTTTTAATTTCATTTTACCGAGTAATGGTTTGCCCTTTCCCTTTTGTCTGAAGCATGCTGATGTGTTTTTTTCTTTTTCTTCTTTTTCTTTTATTTTTTCTTCACCTTTTCTTTGTTATACGCCACGTAACTTTTTATATTCTATTTTCTCGCTCTCTTTTCTCAATTAGCTTCCAAGAGCGGTCTTTTTTCCGATCGGGTAATTATTTTCTAGAACTTGGGTGTATTTTGGTTGAGTGCCTTGAGGCTGCTCCTTTCTGTCTTTTTCTCTCCACTGAGTGGCTTTGGTTCGGTTTGTTGAGGGTTTACTTCTTAAGTACGGCCTGTACGATACAGTATTTAGGCTGGGCTTATGCATATATTAGGGGAAATCCGGGTGTGTCATATTGATGGATTCTGGATCTAGGCGAATTATCGAATGGGCACCTGGGGGGCTGTACAGAATAAACATATGTATAACTGTAATTACTAAAAAAAAAAGCACTACTATTGGTGGTGGTTATTGCTACATTTATCGTGTTTTATGAGAATTTGCTTGATGCCCGTCGTTTCTTTCCGCAATGTCATTTTGTTTGTGTATATTCAGGGGTTTATGTAATGTTTAATCGGGAGTGTCGAAGGGACAAGATGCTATGCACATGGAACGGAGGTAAAGAAAACGAATTTGTTATTAGTACATTCTGTAATATATATATATCTACATAATATAGTAATGGTTTCATATACATGTAGCTACATACATGTACGTACGTACAGCCACTCTGCAAAAGTGTTCGTGATTCCGATTTCGGAGTGAGACATTTCTCCATATGTAACCGTGGCGGACCACCGAGAAGACTTTCCCAGTGACCAATGGCGCCTAAATTAATGAAGAATAAGATCAATGACCTATCTTCTTTTTATATATAGTCACAAACTATATTATATATTTTTTCGTTGTTTTGAATCTCAACTTTAATAACATAAGTATTACGGGTGCGCCACACTGCGCACTGACATTAAAACTATATCACGAACACTTTTGCGGAGTGGTTACTTATATATAAGTAACCACTCCGCAACAGTATTCATAGATTGTAACCTATTCTAGATCCAACAAAAAACTTAGGCCTGATAACCCGGCCGGGGTATCGCAAGAGTTAGGCCCGTATACCAAAGGCTTCAATGATGTTGTTTATTCGTAACTCGAGATTTATAAACATTCATTGTGCGCTACTTGGCGAATTTAAGTACCACGTGCACCAGAAGTGTACGTATGTGTCTGTAGCTGTGTTCTAGTCTTAATATCTTATCTCGCGATCGAGTCCTTTTCTTCATCGATATCCATAAGCTAGATATCTCTGTTCCTACTGAACTGTTTTTTGTTTGATGTAATTAAACAGGTTTTGCCGTATTGAGCAGTCCCTTCACTAAAGGATATTTTCTACGAGTCACTCTCGTCTTACTCTCCCCGACCCCAACAGCTAGCTAGGATCATTGAATATTTGTCAATATAGGTATCTCTAGGGGGAGTGGAAATGTGTACCTCGAATATTCAGTAAAGTCGTCGGGAAAGTCGTTTCTTGGGTCCCAATTTTCGCTGGGAAATGTCAATATTTTGGCAGAGGGAAAGTCGTTTTAAGGGAAATTGGACGACTTTACAGACGGCTTTACCAACGGCTTTACTGACGCCTTTACCTGTCACGCTTCTGTCACATACTTTGGGTGTATACACATGGGGGGGGGATAAATTTCGGCCACCGGTGATGCTTCACATGATTGACCAAGGCCACCGCCAATGAAACGAATCATAACAGAGCATCCTACTATTATACCAGGAGCATCAAGCCAGAACTGCCTGTATGTATATGCCAAACAATGGATCCACCAAAATGAAATTGTATTCCCCAACTGTTACAAGCCCATTGATGCCAGATACCATTTGATGACCCCATCGAAATATTCTATTTGGGGACTCAACTATCTCGAGATCTAGAGGGGAGACTTCATTGGAAAACATTGATTTTCCGGCGGAAAACAGGAAACCCCGGAAACAGTCAGTAAAGTCGTATTTTATTGCCTTTAATAGGTAAATGCATCAATAAAGGTGTCGGTAAAGTGTCGGTAATGGGACAGGAATGCCTTTAACACAAAGTAATGCGGTTATTGCATCAAATAATGTGTATCTCGCAACTTTTTGTATGGGAAACGTTGTTGGCCGGCTGTTGTCCACTATCTCTTCTTCGTCGACGTTACGAATGCGAGAATAGATGTTTTAGCCGAATGCCAGAGAACATGAATATATTGATGATGATGAGAGACAGAGAGAAAAGCACGAACAAAAGAAAACTAGCTAGAGGTTGACACCTGGACACAGTGGCGCTAGCGCTTAAGACTACATTTCCTTTCCAGGGCGCCTATGCAGGCTAACCCGCGCGTATCTGTATGACAAATGCTTTGACGAGAAATCTTCAAAATTGATGCATTTCCACTCCTACTAGAGTATATGTTCATAATATATCACTCGGTTTTCCTGCGCAAGTACTAGCGATTTTTTTTTTTTTCCTAATTCATTAATTGCATGCAACCTTACAGTTATGGCAATATCCCCTGAACTACCCATTCTCATCCGCCTCCACTCACGAGCACTAGACAAATGAAAAATGGAGACTATATGTAATACTCTGAACTACTCCTCGTCTCTAGCGTCCTTTAATGTCCCCCACCCGTATCCTAGTTCTCTTCTTTCCTCCTCCACGCCTTCGTCTTGTCCGTTTCTCTCATTTCTCCACCTTGTAAACTGTTTCCATATCTTCGTCGCTGCCTCGATCCCGCTGGCCTTCCAGAGGAGTAAGTACTAGCGATCACAACGCTGGTGATTTTAAGTTTCCTAATGTTTCGTTCGGCAATATACATGATGTACTTTTTAGTCAGTGGTTGTGGCTATGTTGTATTGCTCGTTACCATAAGTAGGATCGAGAACTAGAACATGGAGATATTATATTAACCAACTTCAAACACGTACTCGTCACTCCACAACCACAAAGGTCAAGATTCAAGAGCAGGAGATCTGGTATTAGGTGTGAATTCCCGGTAGTGATAGTATCTACAGCTCAAATGTCATTCCGAGCGTGCTACTTCGGAGTTTTGATCTTAGGTGGTTTGTGCATTTCCATACAGATTTTAGCTAAAACGTGATGTTCGCTTACTTACGTCATGTATGGTGACCCGCAATACTAGTCTTATGTGGGTGCGGGTACACATACCGGGTGTTGAGGGTAAGTGATCAGAATCTGATAGGTGTATTTGTCTTATCAGATTCTGATCACTTTTCGCTACACCCTAGTACAATGTAAATACCGATTGCTATTGCGGCCGTGGCAGCAACAGCGTTGTCTATGATTAGCACCGAGGTAACTGTGTGCGCTGATTGGGCATACAAAGTTTCAAACATACAGATTTTAAATCTAGTGGCTGGCTAATTTGTTGAGTATGATTGGAGAATGTTGTTTTTGGTGGTGGCACACAGCAGGTGGCAATTTTCGACGCAGCCAGTGGTTGAGGTTCAAACTAAGTGACCTGCAGCGCTGATCTGATCGTTGGTATGGATCGCCTCTCAAAGTATGTAATATCTAGTTTATCTTTGGTTGTGTATGATAGTTGGATTCCCACGAATCTCAATTTGACATCTGATGGGTTAGGGTTCGAGTGTTGATAAATTAATACCGACGATACATTATTTGCACGTGCTACCTCAGTGAATTTGACATGTATTTGTGCTTGATTAGCTTTTTTTAGACGCCTTGGTAAATACAAATATAGAAGTCATGGTTGAACGATGATAGCATCGAGTGATATCTCATGACGTCTATACCTCAATGCTTGAAATGATGGATTAAGTACATATTGTAACTAGTAGTACATACATGTACATTGAACAAATTTTTATATTTATCTCATGTAGAAGTCAAATATATGCAATTTTATCTGCAATGAGACGTACAGCCACTCTGCAAAAGATTTCGGAGTGAGACATTTCTCCATATGTAAACGTGGCCGCGGTCACCAAAAATCCCCCAAGAAAAGACTTTCCCACTGACCAGTTAATGGCGTCCGGAGTCGATGAAGAATAAAGATCAATGGCCTACCTTCACTTATATATAATCTAAACATTAATATCAACATTACGGGTGCGCCACACTGCATTAACATTAAAACCAAATCACGAACACTTTTGTAAAGTGGCTATACATACATGTACGTATACCTATTATATTCCGACTTAAGAATAGTATCATTAAATACATCGCCTACATGGGTTGCACGCATGACTCACTAGTTAATGTCCTTACTTTATATAATGAATCTCAGCAATTGTCATTTAACTCTTTAAGCCGTCACGATCACAGAATACATATACCAAGCAATCTCGGCCGGCCAAAGATCATGATCTCGCGCGGCCTATATGTAGTACATGTATCCTCGCGGGGACGGTCACGTCAGAATAGTAAACTATTAGTAACGGAGATCATTATCATCAATGATCTTAACGTATAATTCAATATAATACTGCTAGAGTGTCTTTGTTTAGAATCTCATTACTCTAAACTGATACTCTATTACTAGATGATAGCTTATTAATACATGTATCTATATATAGTAGTCACAACATTTCTTCTAGCTTCCCATACGACGAAGTCGATTCGATAATAGATAAAGGACACATGATCATATACACATGTCTGTGCCTTCCACCGAAGCCATGGTCGGTTGGCGCGGGGAGGGTCCTGCTAGCGTGTTACTGGTGGCTACATGTAGTGTACGTACGTTGTGTTTGCTCAAATCGTCCGATTAGAACTAAAGAAGGGATGTGGGGCTAAGACCAGACAACTCATGCTTGTATTATATACAATTAACCGTTGTTAATAATGAGGACCTTTCTGTCTATTCAAGAACTACATGTATATGTCAAGGCTTTCTT